TCCTCCCTATCTCTGCCCCTTAGCTTTCCTCCTCACTGGAATTGTGCTGGGACTCTGTGTCTGCCTCCAGGAGCAGCCCCCTGTGGGCCTCCAACACTGACACTTGCGGCACCCTGCCATGTTTCCACCGACTTCGGAGCCATGTGACTGCACACACAGGCCTGTGAGCGCTCTGCTCCCTGCCTCCTTCTTCACCACTGGCCTGCAGCTATGTGAGTCTAGCTAGCAAGAGACTCATGGACTTACGTTGGACTGGCTAAGATGCCTCTTGATATGATTACTTCTTGATATACAGCTCTTTCCTATACTTATATGAGTGTCACTGGCTTTGTTTCTCTAGAGAACGCAGCCTAACACATTTAAACATCCAGGACCCATCTCCTGAACCCAAGTTAGAGAAAGCAGTGTTGAAAAAAAGAAGAATAAAAGATCCCATTAGGGATTCTCCCAACAAAAAGACTCCATGAATTTGTACAAACCAACCAAAGGAAAAACATACACATGCAACAAAAATTGGTTTGCACTGTCTCTGTTATTGCTGTAGTTTGCTAGTAAATAAATAACACCGTGTCATCAATAAACAGCTACTTAGCATACTCCATAGATACATTACTGAATGTTGAAAAGTTGGAGTTGGGAGAAATTGAATATAACCAGAGTAGAAACTATTGTATGGCATAAAACCAATCTAATATTATAAACCAACAATTTTTATATAAACAGCAAAACCTCTTAAATGAGAGAAAACTATTAGCAATTTCAAAAGGCAAATATGTGTATGTAAGAGTAACAGGAAAGTTATACCATAAAATATTGTGTGATTTTACAAATTTAAAATAAGACTATCACCCCCACTGCTGTATCTGCAGCATATATCACAAAAGCAGGGAAATATTATAACCCAACTTGAACTAGTTAATCAATATAGTGATTATCTGCAATATGTAATCCCAGTAATTAAGATTTAGTAGTGAAAATTAAGAAAATGTATTTGATAAAACAGAAAATTTTAACTGTCAAAATTTCATGTAAACATGCAACCTTTACAGAGTTAATACACAATCCTGTACCACATAATGCCCACCTCCTATACATCCACAGTCCTGTAAAGTTATAATAGAGTGCAGAAATCCCAAACGGAGAACTCAAACTCAAATTACTGCTATCAATTGGATTCCAACTCACAGTAACCCTACAGACCATGGTGAAACTGCCCTTGTGGGTTTCCAAGACAGTAACTCTTTACAAGAGTAGAAAGCCTCATCTTCCTTCCACAGAGTGGGCAGTGGTTTCAAACTGCTGACCTTGAAGTTAGCAGCCCAACACATGACAACTATGCCACCAAGAAAGGGCAAACACAACAGTTCTCCACATACAACATGTGTATTTCAAGACTTGTGCTGCCGGGTGAATAATGATACAGAACACATGTAATCTATAATACAAAAGGCCTCCAAAAGTTCATGGAAAAAATCAATTATCTTTTAATTTCATTTTTCCATAAATTTGTGAAGCCCTCTCATACGTAGGTCTTGATAGTCATAATAATTGTCTATGTTACTTACTGGCTTCTGTATGTACTGTATTTTCTAACTAAAAAGTTTACCATGTAACAGTATAAGCTTTAATTCTTAAGCAGCAGTATCCAACCTCAAGTGTTATACATCTCTTAATTGTTGTAGCATTGTGTTTAACTTTCTTGGGAAAATACTGCAGTGAAGTACATCATGGCTTCCAATTGCAACAAAACCAGTGCTAGTTGTAGCGAAGGAAATGTCGATTTGGAAGTGAAACAAAGATTCTTCAACAAATCACTAAGGGCCAACAAGCCCATTAGACTCATGGTGACCCTACAAGCCAGGGGAGAACTGCCCCTGTGGGTTTCTATGACTGTACAGGAGCAGAAAGCCCTGTTTTTGCCCTTGGAGCAGCTGCTGCTTTCAAACGACTAACCTTCCAGTTAGCAGTCCAACAGTCACCACTGCGCCACCAGGTGGTTACAGGAAGGTGGAGAAAGAGTAATTGCTATTGCCCCCAACTTAGGCATGTTGCATTAGACAATCAGGATCAGCTCGACTGAAAGCTACAAGGCTAAGGAAAATGCAAGCGGGACTTTTACCAGATATGGAGAAATTGCTAAACACATGGATTGAGGAGCAAACACAAAACGAGCACCTCTCAGCATACTCGACAATCCCTGCTTAGGCACTGAGCTCATTTAAGATGCTAAAGCAAAAGCAGGTCCAGACAACACCATGTAACCCAGATTACAAAATGTTCCATTTCAAAGAGTGTCATGGACATTAAAAGGAGCCCTGGTGGTGCTGTTAGGTAAGCACTGGACTTACCACAAGGTCAAGATTCAAATTCACCAGCCACTCCTTGGGAGAAAGGCATAGTTATTTGCCCCCATAAGTATTCACAGCCTTGGAAACCCTATTTAGGGTCACTATAAATCAGAATAGATTGGAAGGCAGTGGGCTTTGTTAGTATGGACATAAAGTGACACATGTATTCAGGGTTTTGTTACTAAATATATGAACAAGAAAAAAATTGAAATCCAAACTAGAAGTATTTTAAGAATAACCAAAAAAAAATTCTAATCCCTAATACAGAAAAGGCTCTAAGATTGTGATGTGATGCTGCATATTCCCAAATCAACACAATGAAAATGGTTTCATGATTTCAAATTTTCAAAAATAAACACATGCAACTTAATTCAAAAGCCCTCATGGCAGAATTTACCGTCTTGTGACCATTCTGGCAGGCCACATGCAGCGCTGTCTGCCCCATCGCATCTTCAACATCGACGTCACTGACATGCTGCACAAGGTCATGAAGTAGTTCTGTCCGGCCATTCACAGCCAACCAGTGTATCTGTGCAGCCATTTAATTACTTAACATTTGTGCAAGAGTGTTTCATATAAAAGCAGCAAATAAATAATGCTATTAATTATTTCTCAATTATAAACATGACATACAAAGATATTCTGAGCCTAATTTTTTTTTCTAGTTTTTATTCTGGAAAAATGTACATCAAGATATAGGTTAACACCACCATGTTATTTCAAAATCAAGCACGTTGTACTTCAAAGTGGTTAAGTATCCTAGGTTTAATATCACCACGCATTCTGCCACTTAGATGCCTCTAGAAACCCTGTGCACAGCTGGCCTTGAGAGAAACCAACCAAAACACCACACTCAGTGCCATCGAGTACATTCAGGGTCCACTCACAGGACGGAGTAGAACTGCCCTGATGGGTTTCCCAAAACTGTACATCTTTCCAGGAGTAGAAAGCCTCATTTTTCTCCTGTAGAGTGGCTGGTGGTTTCGAACTGCTAACCAGCTCAATTGGTAACGCAATACAACATATCTGTGCTTCCCTGGAAAGAAGCATAGGTAAAAAAGTAATTAATGCAGCAAGTGCCATATTCTTACTGCTTGCTTTTTAAAATTATCACATGATCTTAAATAAATCATATTAAGAAACTTTAAAAAAAGTGAGACACCTGTAATCTTGCCACTCAAAGATAATCACTGTTAAAACTTTGGGTTATACTATTTTTCATTAAGTTTTCTTTCGTTTAAAAGATATAGCATTAAAAAAATGTATACAGTCATGCATTTATGTGATTTGTTTAAAGTTTCAGGTTTATCATATACATGGCTCCTACATCTGCCGAGTACCCGCTGAAATTACAGTTAATTACTTTTCCTTAGAGGACAGACATTACAGAGATAAAGAATAGAAGAGAAGACAATAGCAACATATTCTGGAAACCAGAAAGGAGAAAACATCAGACTTGTGAGAACAAAAAGCTGACTCCTAAACCAGTAGTACAAATTATTCAAATGATAGAACTCCCGAAGGATCAATAATTGGTCAGAGCTCTCAAAAGGTCAAAGTGTATTTAATAAGACTCACACTCTTAGATCCCAGCCCTTCCCCACTCTGCAATGATACAAGGCGCACTGAAGCCAAAGCACCACACTGAGAAGGGGAGCATAAGTGCCAACGTACATGCTGAGTGCTGAAGTCCAAAAACTTTCTGCACTAATCAGCATGCAGAATGCTAATGTCTCCCTGGCATTCGCAAGGGCTTTCTCTGAGGAATCTGGCCAACTCAACCGTAATGGACTAAATAAGTTGACAAAATGTGCTTTATACAATTGATGTATGTATGAACTGTGATAAGGGTTGTATAAGCCCCCGATAAAATGATTAAAAAAAAAAAAAGGAAAGATGCTAAAAGGAAACCGCCCCAGCAGACCACCATACTCCGAAGCCCGTATTTGACAAAGCTCACTTCAAGTAGCCTTTGGTGTTCTGCCAAATTAGAAAGACATCTAATTTAAAGACAAAATGTAACACAAACAGACAAAAATTAAGGGGAAACACAGATGTCATAACAAAGCTTCAAAAGAAAAGCTATATTTAATAACTTCAGAGATAAGACACTGACAGCATCCTTGAAACAAGAACAAGACGATTTTTACATTTTTAAAAGGTGGGTTAAAAAGAGCTCTTGAAAATCAATACTCTGTGGGGGAGGGAGGGGAAAAAATGAGGAGCTGATAGCAAGGGCTCAAGTGGAAAGAAAATGCTTTGAAAATGATAGTGGCAGCAAATATACAAATGTGCATGGCACAATGTACGGATGTGTGTATTGTGATAAGAGCTGTATGAGCCCCCAATAAACCGATTAATAAAAAAATTTAAAAACCAAAAAAAAGAAAATTAATACTCTGATGACCCAGTTGATAATAAGTTGATTCCAACTAAAAGCAACCCTATTATAGGGTTTCAGAGACTGTGAATCTTTACAAGAGCAACAGCCTCATCTTCCTCCAGTGGAGCAGCTCTTGGGTTTGAATCGTAGACCTTGCAGTTAGCTGTCCAACACTGAACCCACAGCACTATGAAGAGGAAGATAAAACACTTAAAGCCATTACAACAGGTGAACGTAGAGAAGGAGTAAATGCGCAGAGCTAGATGCAAGGGTTTACAGGGAGGTAGGAGTGCGGGTGGCAGACAGGGAGAGTGAGGGGTGGACACTGTATGTGGGAAGGGAGCACTAGAACTGGGTTTACACAACTCATTTTAAAAGCAATTTAGCCACGGGGGGAAAAATAAGAAATTGTTCTAAAATTGATTGGGGTAATAATTGCACAATTCTTATTGATAGGAACTATTAAATATGATATGTGGATTATGTGCTAAGAGAACAATAAAAATTTAAAAAATAAAAATATATATGCACAACAAAACATTGGTCAATTCCACAACTTCTGTCTGTATAATTCAGTGTCACTGATTGCATTCTTTGTGTGGTACAGCCATTATTGATATCCTTTTCCAAATTATTGCACCACCATTAACATAAACTCAATATCCCCTCAGTAACAACTCTCTCCCCTTCACCCATGGTAACCATCGGTCAAGTTTGGTTTCTTTTTTTTTCTTTCTTAAGTAGTTTATTTTTATACAGTATTAAGATAGCATACGTTTCCATGGTTAAATTGCTTTTAAAATGTGTTGTATATACATTGTTACAATCAGTTCTGGTGCTCCATCCCCCCCACTCCCACATTCACTGTTTGCTCCACAAACACAACACACATTTTTTACATCTATCTTTGTGGACTATAAGTAGACATTAAAATAAATAAATGTCTTACCTTTGATAAAGTGATTTTCCTATAATATGTAAAATAAAATTAAATTCTCTTTAGAAAAAACAAACAAACAGTTGAAAAGGGTTGCCTGGGGACTGAGAAGGTAGTGGGCACAGAGGGCAGGTCAAGTAATTGTTTTCTAAAACAAACCTTATAGAAATATTTAACTTCCTAAACACTCTGGATGAATTAGAGTGTTAAATACAAATTTGATTATTTAGTACTCAATGTGGGTAAAGCTTGAACGCAATAAATAATATCACTAAGAAGTAAACAGGACAAAAAGACATTTTTGGTAAAAGAAACTGGACAAATAGAATTTCCTACCACCACCAAAAAATTGTATACATGGTCACATCTGCATGTGTATGTACATAGACGTGCATCTTTACCTAAGTATTGTATATTCACATATAGAGTAAACCACATAGGGCACAGTTATGGATACTTCTTAGGCACATCACACAATCTGTGTGACTGGTATTCTGGGTCTGAAGGATTAGGGCTACAGTCTCTTGGGGCAACTCATTCAACTGGCCCAATACTAAGAATTCATAAATATTCTATACCCTAGTTTGGTGAGCAGAGTCTGAGATCTTAACAGCTTGTGACACAACTACTGATCTCTACTCATCCAGAGCAAAGAATAAATAAAAAACCAGAGACTCAGAGAAGAAACTAGTCCACAGGACTAATGTTGGGTGCCTTCAAATCGGTTCCAGAAACACCGCTCGGTCCGGCATCATGCTCACAATTACTCTCATGTTTGAGACCACTGTTGCAGTTACTGTGTCAATCCATCTTAGTGAGGGCCGCTTTTTCACTGCCTCTCTACCAAATGCGATGTCCTCCTCCAGGAACTGATCTCTCCCGACAAAATGTCCACAGCACGTAAGATGAAGTCTTGCCATCCTTGCCTGTAACGAGCACTCTGCCCTTATTTCTTCAAAGACAAATTGGGTCTTTCCCCCCCTAGCAGTCCATGGTACTTTCAATTCTAATGCATAAATCCTTCTTTGGTCTTCCTTATTCAATGTTCAACTTTCACATCATAGGAGGCAATGGAAAATGCCATAGCTTGGGTCAGGTACAACTTACGGCTTCAAAGTAACATACTTGCTTTTCAACACTTTAAAGCAGTCTTGTGCAGCACACTTACCCAGCACAGCACATCTATTGATCTCTGACTACTGCTTCCATGAGCAAGTGATTGTGGATCCAAGCAAGACAAAATCCTTGACAACTTCAGCCTTTCCTCCATTTATCATGTTACCTATTGGTTCCGTTGTAAGCATTTTATTCTTCCTCACATTAAGTTGTAATCCATGCTGAAAGTTGCAATCTCTGATCTGCATCAGCAAGTGCTTCAAGTCATACTTACTTTCAGCAAGCAGAGTGTGTCCTCTGCAAATCTCAGGTTGTTAATAAGCCTTCTTCCAATTCTGATGCTGCATATTTTTTTATATAAGCCAGTTTCTCTGATTATTGGCTCAGGAAACAGACTGAATAAGTATGGTGAGAGTATAAAATCCTGATACACACCTTTCCTTATTTTAAACTATGCAGTATTCCCTTGCTGTTCGCACAACTGCTCTGTACACAGAAATGGTGGATGAAATAAGACCAGAATAGATGGAGTTCAACTACCACTAACGACCATTCAGATCAGGTTTACCACTGATGAATCCTGAGGGAATGGGAAAAAATAGGGAACAAAACTAAGATTCTTTCAAAATCTAGACTCACTGGACTATTTAAGACTAAAGGGAAGCCCAAGATACTACCCTGAAACAGACCCTTTAAACTTTGAAACAAGACGATTCAATGAAGTCACTCTTTAGCTAAATAACAAACTGGGTTTAGCTAAAAAAACAGACTGGCTCATAAACTAAAGACTATTACCTGTAAGTATAGCACTCTTTTTAAAAAATCACCTAAATGGTCAACAATCAAAGCAAAAATGAAAAGGGTAGGAAAAGTAGATTATTGGAAACTGAACAACCATAACTGAGTGAAAATGTAGAAACATTGTGAAGAATGCAACCAGTCACTGAACAATTTTGTACAAACTGTTAAATAGGAACAATTTGCTATGTAAGCTTTCACAAAAAAAAACCCCAAAATGTATTTTTCAGTTATTTTTAAATTTTCTTCCCCACTTCCCTTGAAATTCAAGAGTAAGAAATTCATTGAGGAAAACTTACATTATTAAACAGATTATGCCAACATTGGACATCTTATCTTGCCTACACTAAATACGAGGGTCTTCAAAAAGTTCAAGGGAAAACGGAATCAAAAGATAACGAATGTGTTGGAGTGTCTATCAAATGCTTATCCTCCACTTATCATTCCCTCATTTGTCCACATTAAACTCCACTTCTCTCAGTGGAAGCATCACCTCAGCTCGGGTCAGTTTTTATGAAGGGGGAAAGTGACAGGACCAAATAGTTCCTGCCCTTCAGCATTGTCCCACGGTTACGCCACATTAATAGGCCTCCTGTAACGGTAATCAATGCATGCATATGGGAATTCATAACCTGAGGAGAGGGGATGTGAAGGTGATTTCACCTCTGTTGGTGGATCAACCACAGAGAGGCAGCCTGCTCTTGGGGAAAACACAGCATTGCATATAAAGACTCCCAATAGGAGAATCCACCCAGGGTTATGTTGCTAACGATGCATTTTTTGCTAGTTTCTCTTCAGCATCGAGTGACTCAAGCCACATGTTGCATAGGCTACTGGGATTTTAGATTTTGTCATTTTGAAGCGTACATCATTCTTCATAGACATCAGAACTAAGGGATTTTAAATCCCACTAAGGGAACCAGATTTTGCCTTGCAGATTAAAGGAACTGAACACTCCTTTTTACTTAAACACTCCGGTGTGAAAAGAAGCAGGGGACTAGTATCCTAAGGTCGATTTGGAAATCAGTGGACTTTATTTCAAATCTCTTGCTTTTGAGGATGCCTAATAACTGGCAACTTAAGACGTCCATATATTTGCTTTTGCCATACTTTGTTTTCTGTGACATGTCACAGTCCTGCAGACATAGTTTTATCTTAGTGACTGAGCACTATTGAAATGCTTGCCTGTGTCTCTAACCTTTAGCACTGTCTTAAACAGTGCTATTTAAGTTTTTAAGCTGTATAAGTAAACATCCCATGTATTTTAACCTAAAAAACTTTCCTATATATGTATCTTTTCCTTTTATCAATAATACTTTACATTTTATACCATTAGCTCTGTTAATGGTATTATTACTAGAACTACCAAATGTGTTATGGAGTTTACTTAAATCATTTCTCATAAAGCTGATCATGCGGCCTCTAAAGTTAACCAGGGATGATAGATAGATAGATAGATAGATAGATAGATAGATAGATAGATAGATAGATAGATAGGGCTTTAGATATATGAATGGATATATGGAAACCCTAATCTAAGAACAATTAAAGAGATGCATGTGTGCTGAAGAAATCAGATGGTTTCCAACTACCAGGAAGATCAGGGTCTGAGGGCTTCCAGGCTCATCTTAAGCAGCAATCTCAATGAGTTGGTCAGCTAAGTTGGCACAGGAGGATCACACCAGCCTGGATGATCCACGACTTACAAATAAAATCTAAGAACAGAGAAGGGAATTGTATGAGAGTGTAAATTCTGAGCTCCTGGTTTGCAGAGGCTAAGGATGAGAGGAAAACCCAAAATCCATTTACAGAGTCCCCACACAGATTAACCCTTTATTGAACTCCCTCAGACCACTGACAAGGGATGTGAAGTGCTGGCCTCATACGAACTGCAAAGGTGGGGACTACAGATACAGTAAGGTTAGAATTTAACATCTTACCTTCTCAACTGAGGTTTTCCTGTGTTTTACTTTGTTGTCATTGTTGGGGTTTTTGTATGATATTCTTTATATGAAATTTAGGATAGGTAAGCCATAGACACAGTAGCTAGAATAATAGTTCCTTCAAGTTATGGCAGTGGAGGTTGGGGAGAAATGGCAAGCTAATAATAAATGGATATAAGAATGAAGACACCCCCCCAAAGGGGAACAACAGAAACTGTGGGGGAAAGGAGACAGCGATTGGTGTAAGATGAAAATATTAATAATTTATAATTTATCAAGGGATGACAAAGGTGGGAGGGGAAGACAGTGAAAAAGGAGGATACCCAAGGGTTCAAATAGAAAGTAAATGTTTAGAAAATAATGACAGCGACATATGTACAAATATGCTTGATATAATTGATGTATGGATGGTTATAAGAGCTGTAAAATCCCCCAATAAAAAGATCATTTAGTAAAAAAAATTTTTAAATGAAAGAGTAACTTCATCTTTGATATTTTTGTTTTATAAAAGTTTCTGTGCTTGTATAGGAATAGTCATTGTCTTACTCTTGTATAAGATAACCATTTGGGGTCCACTTTTGGCTAGGACTAGTGTAACTCCTTCATGCAATAAACTGAAAAGAGTAAAAAAAATAATAATAAATAAATGGAGAAAATGTTCTAGAATTGATTATGGGGATGATGAACACAACTCTTTTTAATATATTAAACAATTGAATTGTTTAATATAGTATGGTATGTGATATGGTGATATATTTAATATAATATGGTATGTGAATACATGCTAAGAAAACTTAAAAAAACACACACCCATAGGACGATATACCACAAAAGTGAACTCTAATGCAAGTTGTAAGCTATCATTAATAATATACCATTATTATTTTATTAATTATAAGAAATATATTACATTAATAAAAAATTGTTAATAACAGAAACTGTGCAGGGGATAGCAAGTACATGGGACCTTTTGTACAACTTTTCTGCAAAGTTCAAACTTTTCTTTACTAAATTCTATTATTATTAAAAAATGACAATGGAATTTTTCCACCAACTTTTGGAAGCCTCATCAGTTCCTAAAGATAGATCTATGTCATTCCCATGGTCTTATAACCCTCTACAGCACCTATCACATCACTGAGAATCCTGGGGATATTTAGAATATAGGTATTCATTACAGAGTTGATGGTGTTATGTTGTTAGTATATAACAAACTGTTATTCTCACAGGTATTGTGAATTTAATAATTACCACCTAACATACTGGCTCACAGAACTAGAAATAATTTCTATGTCACATGAGTTGAGTTTTTAATAAGACATTTTCGATAAGCCACTCACAGAATAATTCAAGTCATATCGAAGTTGTGCTATATCTTTAGGCCTCAAATATTTTTTTCAATCAAAGCTAACATGAAAGTACCTTCCTTTTTCACAAAATGAAAATTTCAAAATCTACAAATACTATCAAAAGAAAGTAAATGGTAAAAATAGAACTCAACATGTTCCACCATGACACTTCATTAACTCGATGTCTAAAACAAGTATCCTCCATAAAAGAATTATTTCGTTAAAAATTTTTAATTTAAATAATTCTCTCAGAAATATTTCCTATATGGACCAAAAATATATTACATTTGAAAAGTGACAAGACAAAATAGAAAGAAACACGAGTTTAAGTAAGGTATAACTAGACAGAAAGAATTTAAACCAAAATGTTAACAGTGATTATCTTTGAGTGCAGGAAATACAAGTAATCATTACTTCCATTACCTTTTTTTTCTTTTCCTTTCTTTCAAGCCCTACTTTTAATTTTTCTAAAATGAAGATATTAAAAGTACTTAAAAGGACATAATGAAAAATAGTCCCCTATAACGAACTCATGACACACCTTGGCTGGTAGGCAAAAGACCCTTGAAAGTCCATGGCAAAAACAAGAGAAATTAGATTTTTAAAAAGAAATAAACAAACTGAAAGTCAAATAAATGAATTTTAAAGAGGCATCATAGCTCCTCTTAATACAGAGCTGAAAACTATCTCAATCATTCTGCATCTTCTTAATTACTTCAAAGAAATAATTTTCAGACACACATTTTCTAAAATGTATTATGAAATCTCAGATGAAAATATTAGCACTTACAGCTGTAAGACCTTCGTTATTACAAATGTTGACATCAGCACTGTATTCTAATAATTTACTCATGCATTTCTTCTGCCTGAAAAGAAAAAGAGATGATCACAGATATAGTTTATGGACACTAAAAATATATTAGTCTCAGGGTGGCACAAACAATTACGCACTCAAAAAGGAGACAGATGCTTGGTGATTCGAACCCACCCAGAGGCACCTTCAAAGCAGGGCTCAGAAACAGTTCTCTGAGGGTCAGTCATGGCTAATGAAGTGAAATGGAATAAACTCAAATTTGTAACATGTGGGTGCACCAGAACTATAACTAGAATGGTAAATGTCTGTGTACACACATGCACACATATGTACATAAATAAGAAAGTTAGATTCTAAACTTCTTTGTGCCATGGGCTTATACATGGGCTATACTGTTATTTCATTAATCAATTAATACAAGTTGGGCTGCAATTCAAAAGGCCAGCAGTTCAAAACCACCAACTACCCTGCGGGGAGGGGGGGTGGGGGGGGCGGTGGAGAGTCTGAGCCTTCTACTCCCATACAGTGTTAAATCTCAGAAACTCACAGGACTAGTTCCACCCTATCCTGCAGGGTCAATATGAGTCAGCATCAACTTGATGGCAGTGAGTTTGGTTTTGGTTATGGTTAAACATAGAAAGGAGTGTGTGTGTGTGTGTGTGTGTGTGTGTGTGTGTGTGTACACCATAAACAACGAAGCATGCCTGCCGTCAATTTGAATTCAACTCATGGCAACCTCACGTGCCTGAGGATAGAACTGTGTGCTCCATATGATCCTGAATAGCTGCTGTCTTACATGGAGCTTGCCAGGCCTTCCTTCTCAAATGTCTCTGGGTGGGCTGAACGCTCCACCCTTCATGACAGCAGCCAGGTGTCATCCAGTTTTACCACCCGGGACTCCTATACACTATATATAATAAACCAGTTATAGATAGACAAGTGGCTTCAGCAAGTTGGTGGGGAAATTTCATTTTCTTTTCCTTCCATTTTTCCATGAAAATATTTAAGCTTTCTCATATGTACACTATGAGGTGTGCACATAAACTATTTACTCCACTAGATCATAAACTTCTTTATGACATAGATCATAACTTCAAAAACTCCAAACTCACTGCCATCGAGTCAGTGCCTAGTCATAGCGACCCTGAAAGGCAGGGTTTAACCGCCCTGTGGTTTTCTGAGACTGGAACTCTTTACAGGGGTAGAAAGCCCTGCCTTTCTCCCCAGATGATAACATATTTCCTTAATTCAATACTGAACATAGGCAGGCATACAGTAACTCTCCGAGCTATGGTCAATTAATGTAGCCCTTCTAGCCCTGGATCCATATGTGACATATATGGCGCTAGACTCTACACTCCAGTGCCTATGGCCCCTTTTTGGAGGGTCTTCTCTACTATGCTGATGGACAGGAGTGGCTAGGGATGGAGCTCTGACTCTGGTGCAAGGAGTAGGCCAAGCCACGTCCTTGGTTTCCCTGAGGGCATCTTTAAGGCCCCATGTTAGTACTGGGTGTGAACCAAGACACACTCCATTGTTTTCCTTGGATATAGAATGGTGCTACCATACAGTTCTATACACATTCCCTCACCTGCAAAGCCAGACCTCTATTTTCCTGACCAAGCTTTGATAGAAGCAAAGACCACAGTGGCTTCTGGACATTTTTGGCTTCTGGCTCTGGACCCTGCCTTTGGCTAGCCTCTGCCTGACCCTCAGATTTTGCACTGAATAGTAACTACCATCATCTAAGACATTTCTTCAAGTTTTGGGAGGTTCTAGGGAATGTTATAGCAAATCCCAGAACCCAGGGACATGAGAGATTACACTCAAAGGAGGAGTAGAAGAAAATGGAGCCAAGTAGCACCTTATTAAGAGTGGGATATTTGGGACATCCTGAACCTCTAGCTACTAGGAACTAGTCTGGTATTAATTCTCACTAAATAAGTTACACACTCTTAATAAGATTTTATTAAATATTCAATCTCATAAATCAATAGCTAAATGCATATGGATTGAATAAGTCTTAAAAAACAAAACTGCTTCTACTTTGATTTCTGCACCTGAAGTACATTTAATTGTCACTTAAAGCCAGCAATAAAATCAAGATGGGAGAAGAAAATAAACTTTGAGTAAACCTGTAAATTCAAACACTTAAGAAATAAATATTCATTAATAACCCACATCTATAAGAGGGACATGAAAAAGAAATTAATCAAAAAAGTATTTAGGATCTAAGATACAACCTTAGATCTCTTCCTGTCTGGAGCAAAATGGAGTGAAGAAAACCAAACCAAAGGAACTCACTGCCATCCAGTATCTGATTCCTCATGACCCGACAGGACAAGGGTAGAGCTGCCCCTGTGGCTTTCTGAAACTGTCCATCTTTCTGGGAGCAGAAAGCCTCAGGTTTCTTCCAAGGAGTAGCAGGAGGTTTCCGACCCTGTAATTTGATTCTAAACCTATAAAACACTATGCTACCGAGGAAGGCTCCACAGACTCCAGCAAGCAAGTGGTCTAAAGAACTAGGGACAATGCGAATGAAGCTCCGCCAGAAGAACTGGAGAGTGCTGGGCTACCAGTCCTGGCTGCTCTGACAGAGATCACCCGAGAAGGTCCTCGGCAGGGTGGGTGAAAAATGTAAAATAAAATTCAAAAACGTGAAGATGAAAAAAAACCACTTAATGGTCCAAGAGAAACCTAGTGGAAGTCCTGGACTGTAACTCTTCAACACCATTCAGACCTGCAACCTAGCCCACCAAAAGGGATCACCTTTCATCCAAACAACAGACAAGTCTATAAAATGAACAATAACAACACTGAGAAATGTAATCATAAAATCAACCAACCATCAGAGACCACAAGGACAGCATGTTCTCCAAAACAAAGTGCAGCAGGCAAGAAGCGCAGACAAAGAGGGCTGATGGAATCAGGAAACCCAGAGGGGTAGTAGGAAATGTTGCTACATTTAAGGATTGAACTAATGCTGCAAAACAAATTGTGTACAGATTGTTGAATGGGAAACTAATTTGTTCTGTAAACTATCAGCCAAACCACAAAATATCCAGATAAGTGTCTAAGACAGTGGTTCTCAACCTTCCTATTGTTGCGACCCTTTAATACAGTTCCTCATGTAGTGGTGACCTCCCAACCATAAAATTATTTTCATTGCGACTTCATAACTGTAATTTTGCTACGCTTATGAATTGGGTGAGCGGGTGAGCCCTGTAAAAGGGTCGTTCGAACCCCAAAGGGGTCGTGACCCACAGGTTGAGAACCGCTGGTTTGGGGTAGAAACACTGTTGAAGAAAAGCAACAATCCATCATGTTTTTCCTTCCCAAAAATGAATATAAAAGGTACAAGAAGGTGTAATTTTTAAAATTGTTTTCTACTCCTTACCAACCATTATTGCTACTACTTTGCATGGTGAGGCCAAACAGCCTCGCCTGTTTCAAAAGTGAACATCTATTCCATGAAGAACTAGGGCTAAATTAACTAATGCATGGGGGTCCTTTGGGCTCACAATCTAGATAAAAAGGATTTTTTTATTGTTTCAAATCTGACCAATGTGCTGCCCAAGTATGCACAGCAACTCTTCCCTTTGGACACATTCTCACGCAGTCATAAGCAACACCCACACAGGTATCAATTCCCCGGTCCAGATACTGTGGCAATTACAGGAAGCTTGGGGTAACCCTCCATACAACAGAACAAAGCACTGTCCAGTCCTGCACATCCCCACAATTGTTAGGTTTCAGTCCACTGTGGCAGCCACTCTGTCACTCTATCCCATAGAGGGTCTTACTCGTTTTCATTGACCCTCGACTTTACCAAGCCATGTCCTTTCCCAGGGACCAGTCTCGTCTGATAGTATGTCCAACAGTACACGAGACAGAGTCTCAGCATCCTCACTTCCAAGGAGCAGATCTACTTGTTGACTGGAAACCTTTACTCATCAAAAATATCAAAATGGCATCAGTGCAAAAATGTGCTTAAACAATGAATATGTGGATTGTAATAGGAGCTATAAGATCCCCCAATAAAATGATTTATTAAAACTAATTTTTAAAATTAAAACATAAACTAAATCAAACAACAATAAAAAAATCCAAACGTGAAAGAAAAGCTATTGGTTTTCACTGTATCCCCCATCTAAGTCATCTTTCTCATCCTTCCCAGAAGCAATCTGTGCTCTCTCTTTGCTTTCCACCACACCAAAAGACAGCTGTGCATGCTTGAGGGCCTCAAGTCACGTTCTTTTTCGCTGTCCTTTGAATTGGGGAACAAAAAGAAGTCTGAATGGGGCAAGATAAGGACTAGAAGGTGGCTGCTGTAAGGCTTCCTGATGAAATTCTTGTAGGACAGCCTTGGCTACCCCTAAAGAATGAGCAAATGCATTGTCAGGATATGATAAAAATGCCTCAATGCAACTTTCCTGGCCTTTTCTCAAAAATGCAGTTTCTATTTTCTTTAAATTTGTCTTGTGTCCTTCAGGAAAATCTATCAAGAGTAACCCCTGTGGGTCCCCCAAAATCACCATAACCTCTGACCTGACATCTTTGTCTTGAATTTAACTGGCTCAGCAGATCGCAAAAGACAATGTTTCAATTTAATTTTTTACTTTAAGCATTCTAAGAGACTAAAGGAAGTGGATCACTGAGAGCAACTGGCTGCACTCATCTCCTGGTGGCAGAGACATGTGAACATATTGCTGTCCAGGTTGGTTTGGCTTCTTTAAAAGCCCATGCATGTACGGACAGGGGCCCGAGCAGCAATATGTCTTGACTTACCCTTGTACACTGCTGAAGAAGGCTAGTAAGCACATTATTTATATAGGGAAGTTTAGTCAAACATAGCTACAATGGATTAATTTTTATCCTATCTTGACAAAGCATTTGTCAAGAAAAGCATCTAAAAATACCAAATTACCCTGATATAGGTCACTATCGAGTAATTAAAACAAATTACTGTCTTTAAAACAAATAACACAATTAACCAAAAAACCATTTGGAAAACAAGCCAATGAGTTAGGGGGGTAACAAGAACTTAGCAAGAAAAAAGGTATCAAAAGCAGAAAGATGAAATTTATGCTTCTGAGAAAATAAGTCATTATAATACAAGTAGTAATGAACTTTCACAATTACATTTTCAGGAAAAAAATACTAGTCAACAATTTAATAAACTACTAAACACTGACATCTTGCAATTTTAGTGTAATAACTTCTTAAGACCCACTTTAAAGAAGAGATAACAGACTTAACAACAGTATCCTTGACACACACACAAAATATTACAGAAAACTAACATATCCACATTTTATAGTGGTGCTTCACGGCAAACATCAAAAAAAAAATCACCAAATCAAGGTGCCTTGAATACCACTTAGCAATAACTGATGAGACAAGTTAAGGTGCTAAAGTGAAATAGTTACCCATTTCTAGCTGCCAAATGAAGGGGCGTACAGCCTGAAATATCTTGATAGTTAGGATTTGCTCCTTTCTTTAATAGCAAGACCAAGCATTCCACTGATCCACAACTAAAAAATATTTAAAAAGACAGTTCATTAAGACACTTTAAAGATACATTCAATAAGCAACCATAGCTCATATAGCTTAATTCAAATAAAATTTCAATGTCTAAAGTCCACATATACCTATAATTATATTTAGCTTCTGTCACAAATAATAATTAACTTTTACTTTCTAAGATAGCACATTCTACTAAAAAAAGCTACTAAGCATCTGACAAGTTGAACATTTGTATTTGTTTATAAATAATCATAGAGTACTCCAGATATTTGGAACCTTCCAGAAGCCAAATGTAGAAGGAACGATCCATTTCAATACTAGGCTGATAGCTTCAGGGTCAGGAGTCAGAACCCACCAGGCTACTCCCAGGAAAAAGATGAGGCTTTCTGCTCCCCTAAAGATTTACAGCCAAAGGGGCAGTTCCATTCTGTCCTATAGTGTCTGTATGGATCAGAATCCGTATAATGGCAATCAGTTTGGATTTGCTTTTTTGTTTTTGGGGGGTTTTTTTTTGTTTCGGTAAGTCCTGAAAAGAGGCTTGATTATTTATACATTAGTAATCTCTGTATAAAAATCAATGCAAAAATAAAACCAATGACTTCACAAGTAGTTTTAACATACCATCATTTTACAGTAGCTCATAATTGGAATTAAACTTATTGTACCATTTGAAATCTTATAATTATAAATCTTATAAAAGAAAAATCTGGGTGAATATCCTCGGTTCAGTAAATCTAGAAATGACAATCACCATGCCTAACCTACTCTGATCTCATCCAAACAATACTGGATATAAAACTTTCCTTTTTAACAATTCAATTCCAACAACCACAATTTATATAGCGTTAAGAATGCAAGTGTATGCAAGTCTGGCTAAACCAGAGGATGTACACTAGTACAGATAGGAACTGAAAATACAGGGAGTCCAGGGCGGATGATCCCTACAGGACCAGTGGTGTGAGTGGTCAAACAGGGAGGGTAGAGGGAGAGTGGGTAGGAAAGAGGGAACCGATTACAAGGAATAATATGTGACCTCCTCCCTGGGGGACGGACAACAGAAAAGTGGGTGAAGGTAGACGTCGGACAGGGCAAGTATGACAAAATAACAATTTATAAACTATTAAGGGCTCATGAGGGAGGGGGGAGCGGGGAGGGAGGGGGAAAATGAGGACCTAATGCTGGGGGCTTAAGTAGAGAGGAAATGCTTTGAGAATGATGAGGGCACTGAATGTACAAATGCGCTTTACACAATTGATGTATGTATGGATTGTGATAAGAGTTGTATGAGCCCCTAATAAAATGATTTTTAAAAAAAGAATGCAAGTGTAACGTACTAAGCTGAAAACATGATATAAGGAACCACTCAGCTCTCTGGGTTCATCTCTTTGCACCTCTCCAGAGCTACTGTGCAACCATGATGATTCAAGGCTTGCTTATTATCCTTACTCTAAACCAGAGTTTAACCCAAAATATCTTCAGTCTTACTTTGCTGCAATGTGAAGCAAGCTCCTTTTCACGCGTCCAAATGCATAATTGACATCAAACCTTGAATTTGATAGTAATTCAGAAACAGACCTACATCAAAAGAAAAGTGAAAGTCAATACACAAAGATCATTTATAAAAGCATAATTAATTGAGTTAACAGCTCTTTAGCTACTCTGACCGATTTTTAAATATGTTCCGCCTACTATCAACCAGGAACTATTCGGGTGTTGAAGGTTTCAAGGTTTCCTCCTTTGCTTTGCTGGCAGTGCTGGGGAGAGATGGCAAGGTAAATGGACTCGGCTCTCACAAAATTCGAGAAGAACAAAAGGAGTAGGGGTGGCTACCCCACTTGCAGAACGCTGAGCCCACTTATACAATTATAGTGTGGCCAAATGAAGAAAATGAAGCAAACAAACTTTAATCGTACTAAACAGGAAATGTAAAGCAAGAATAATTTTTCTTTAAACTTGCTTCAAACTGTATTTCCTGTTTACTATCCTCTGTTTACCACAGCAGAAATGTCTGCTCCAGGGATGAACACTCCATCACAGTGTCAACACTATGCCACAAAAAGAACATCAAAGCGTAATGTAGAAAGGAAAAATCCTAGAGATGGATAGTGACCTGTAATTCACATAGAAAAATCTCTATCATAGAATTTAAAATGTGGGAAATTTTGGTACCTATTTCAGATAGCAGAAAATTACGGGCAGCTAAATAACTTGTCCCAAGGCAACAGCAAAATTAAGGAAGAACTTCAGAATTAAAACCAACTCACAGGTACTGAATTTGCATCCAAACTGTTTGAATGTGCATGAGGGCGGGGTGGGGAGGGGACAGACATCTTAACATGTAGGTAAATTTGCACTTCTCAGAAAGTATAAATATGTAAAATTGTCACTTACCTGTGTTGATCAGCCATAACCATCGGCATTAATGTATAAACAGCAGTTTCATTATCTGAGTAAAAACAGGAAAAAAATCAATTTTCCTCCTCTAAAAATATATCAAATCACACACTGTATGACTGTGTTTTCCAAGGGAGTGAGAATAGAGATTGTTTCATAAGAATCAAGGAGGAGATGGGAGAAAGTAAAGGGAGGGAAGAAAACCAGTGATAGTACACATTTTGAGGAGGTGTGGGATTTCTTATCCCTCCTACTAAATCATCACAAAAGTGTCCAGCTTCTGGATTTGAAAGGAAAATTGCAGATTTGATTATTTTCTCAAGCTGAAACAACCAAAATCCCTTACTTTCAAAGACATGTTAAATGACTTCATGTTCTATTATACTTACATGCAGCTATGAATTTTAAGCATACCTGGATCGTAAAGAAATGTAGGATTGCTCTAGGGTAGCTAAGAGTCAAAATCAACTCAATTTCCGTGAGTTTGGATTTGGTTCTAATAAAGTAGAAAGGAGCCCTGGTGATATAAACATGAAGTGCTCTCCTGCTAACAGAAAGGTTCAGGGTTCAAGCTAACCCAATGGGGTCCCATGGGAGAAAGGCTGGCAGTCCACTACCATCAACCACTGCAGCCTAGGAAACCCCACGGGGCAGCTCCATCCAGTCACTTAGAGTCACTATGCATGGATTATCAGCTCAATGGCACACAACCACAGCTAATGGAAAAAACACAAGGAAGCTGCAAAGAGTTTGTGGAAAATTCCACTAACTCTTAAATCCATTTTTCCATGACCATCTTGAATCATCAGTGAAATTCTAATAATGTCTGAAGTTTAGTTAATAGTTGTATAACACTATTATTTCTTAACATGATAATTTTACTAAAATTGCATAAGATGTTAACATTGGAATAAACTGGGTGAAGGGAACTCTTCACTATTTAGGTAAAAATTTAGTAAGTCTAAAATTAGTTTAAAAGATTCTAATTCAAACAAACTGTCTTACAAGATGATCTTGCTTTTTCCTTTAGTTTTATTGTGCCAAAACATACATAACAAAATATTAGCTATTTTAACCATTTTAAGTTAAAGTTCAGGAGCATTGCTATGCAATCATCATCACTCATCATTTTCAAACGTTTTTCATCACCCCAAATAGAAACTCAGAAACCCTTAAGTAGTGATCTCCCACAGGCCCCTGAACCAGCCCCTGGTAAGTGGTGATAAACTTTTATCTCTCTCCATTCACCCATTCTAGATATTTCATGTAAGTGGTGGTGCCTGGCTATTAAAAGATATATCATCTGGGGTCTTAAGAGCTTGAAGATAAAATAAGTAGCCATCTAGCAGAGAAGCAACAAAGCCCACATAGAAGAACATCAGCCAGTGTGATCACGAGGTGTCGACAGGATCAGGTTATCAGGCACCAGAAGACGCAAAACAATCAATCATATAGATGAGAACCAGGGGGGCCAGAGTGGAGACCCAATACCCAGCTGTTGACAATTGGACATCCCCTCACAGCAGTGTCACAAGGAAGGGAGGAGTCAGCCAGGGTGCAGTATAGCACCAACGGGACCCACAACATTCTTCTAGTTCTTTAACGTTTTCCCCCTCCCCATTCTTATGACCCCAGTTCTACCTCACAAACCTGGCTAGCCCAGAGCATGTATACTGGTACAGATAAGAATTTCCGGCTTGATATAATGGATGTATAGATTGTTACAAGAGCTGTAAGAACCCCTAATAAAATGATTTAGTTAGTTAAATAAATAAATACAACTAATCTCTTTATGGCTGAGTAATAGCTGATCTTATGTAGAGGGTACTTCAGAAAGTTCATAGAATAGAACATGAAAGGATAATGGAAGTCCCTTCATATATACCACATTTTGCTTACCTATCCCTCCGGACTAGTGGTGGCACAGGTGTTACATGTTGAGCTGCTAACCACAAGATCAGTAGTTTGAAGCCACTCTGCAGCAGAAAGATGAGACTTCCTAGTAAGCGCTATAGTTTCAGAAACTCACAAGGACAGTTCTACTCTGTTCTGCAGGGTCCCTCTCAGGTGAATCTGACTGGATGGCACTGAGTCTGGGTTTGGAGTCCTCTGGCAATGGATACTTGAGTTCTTCACAACCAAAACTATGGCTACTCTGAATAGTGCCACAGAGAACACTGATATGTAAGTATCTGTATGAGTCCCTGCTTTCCAATGTTTGGGACATATGCCTAGGAGTGGAAATGTACTTTAGTGACTTCCATGTTTCTGTGATGCTAGAATCCATGCCATCAGTTCTTCAAACACCAGTAGGGTGATCCACGATGGACAGGTCTCAGTAAAGTTGCCAGACTCACAGACCAGGAAGCAGGAAGAGGCAGACTATGGCTCAGAAGTTAGGTACTGAAACTGGTATGAGCGGCAGTGGAATATCGCGCCCAAGATGAGCTCCTCGGATGGGAAGGAACTCAAGATTGAACCGAGGCGGAGAAACTCCCCACAGGGGCTGCCTCGCGAAGAGCTTTACGAGCCCAACAACTCACTCGGGTGACCTTAAGGACACAAAGCTCCCAGGATCTGCACTTATGACGACATGCCTCAAAATGATAAGAAACGGCAAACATCCACTGACAATTCCAACACTGTACGGATTTAGAAAAATTTGAAGTGTTCAAAAATAAACTGGAACACATAAAGAGTCGCAGGCTAAGTGCTGCAATGGACTGGGATGGGTCATTTTGCACTAGTCGATCGTAAGGCTTACTGGGCTGGGAATTACAGGCTGAGGAGCAAGGATGCCGCATCTGTCACCAAAAAGAATAGCTCATGACCTCTTCTGAAGTGCAATGTTATCAGAGATAGGGTGCTACCCATACACCTAAAAGAAAGACAAGGAAAGACGACTATTATTCAAATCTACAAAGTAATCATTAACCCCAAAGATAAAGAAAATGATGACTACGGCAACTCTACAGTCTGAACGTGGTCAAATAGTCAACAGAATATGCAGGAATCAAACTGACTACATGTGCAGAAAGAGACACTGGAGAATTTAAATATCATAAGCTAAAATAAGAATACACACACGAGTTTGAAGCAGATTCAGTATCTGTTTGTTGGTTTAAATTCTCAGGTTCTTCCTTAATTTTGATTTTGTGGGGCCAGTTATTTGACTTCTCACAATTTTCTGTTAAATAAGAAACAAATTAAATTTTGTTCCTATTAAATAAGGAACAAAATTTTCCAAGTTTTAAAATTCTCTGATAGAGGTTTTCTACATGAATTAGAGGTCACTATTAGTCTCTATGGGGCCATCAACTGTTCTTATGCAAGGTTCAGTTAGGGCTGAAAAGTTAAAACAAGCCCAAGAGAGACGAAACGTGACTTTAGATACATTCGAGCTTTCTTTAGAGAGTCTTCCAGAAGAGATCTGATGCAATGACCACCAATGACCACAGACGCGTTCTGGGAGGACGTCGAGAACATCACACTGAAGAGAGCAAAAGGGCAGCTCGAGGAGACAACGTACTATAATGAAATGTGCGAAGATCTGAAAGTAGAAAAGGGAAGCGCATGCGCGGCATATCTAAGCTAACAGAAGTGAGAACTTCAAGGCTCAAGTTGTAATACTGAAGAATTGCGTGAGAAAAAATATTGAATGACAGAGAAAGGATCAAAAAGAAGACTGAAAGGTCCAAATAGAATTTATACCATTTCAGAAAGTATATGATCAAGAACCAATGGTATTGAAGGAAGAAGTCCAAGCTGCACAGAGAAAACGGCCAACAAGACTCTAGGAACAGAAAGAATGCAGATGGGAACTTTCACCAAACAGATACAGCACCACAGGTGGTCGCTTTCCAAATGCCAGGAAATTCAGAAGACCGCTACCTAGCCAACCAACTGGAAGAGAACAGTATTTTTCCCATTCCAACAGATTGCGGAAGCATTATCATTAATTTCACACACAAGTAAAATTTTGCTGAATATAATTCAAAAGCAGCTGAAACAGTACATCCTCGGTGAGCTACCTGCCAGAACCTCAAGCCAGATTCAGAAGAAGACCTGGAATGTGGGCTAGCAGATGGCTCTTAACTGAAATCAGAGAATACAAGAAAAATACTTATTCTGTGTTTTACCGACTACACAAGGCATTCAACTATTTTGATCATGACAAATTATGAATAAATAACATTTCAATGACTGGGAATTCCAGAACACTTTATTGTGTTCATGTGGAACTTATACAGAGACCAAGTGGCAGTCTTTCACACAGAAAAAGGACATCCCGTTTAAAGGAAGACTCCTTAACAGCCTTCCATATGTAGCTGACACACCGTGCTGGCTCCAAGCAAGGAGGACTTGAAGCACTCACTGATGAAGCCCAAAGACAACTGTCTCCCGTGTGGGTTATACCTCAATGTAAAGAAAGCCAAAATCCTCACAACTGGGCAGTGTTTTCTTCTCTTGTACATGGGGTTTTCACGAGCAGGAACCAACTTAATAGTATCAAACAAGGTAACTCTGTGTAATACTTTGACAAACCACCAAACTGCTTTTTACAGCCCTGGTGCTGTAGTGGTTACACTCTGAGCTATGATTTGCAGTTTGAAACCACCAGCAGCTCCATGGGAGAAAAACTGGGCTTTCTATTCCATTGAACAGCGACAGTTTCAGAACCCTCTGGGTTAATATGAGTCAGCTTTGACTTGATGGCAGTGAGTATCATTTTACAAAGGAGCTCTGGTGATGTAAGGAGATAAAATAGCTAAGCCTGCTGTTGATCACAATACTAGAAATAGAACGTAACTTAGGAAAATTGTTGAGAAGTCAAAAATCCAATGGTCCCCTCCCCTTACAGTAGAAATTCCTTTTAAGCTTAATCAGTAGGGATGTTCAAACTCAGGAAGGCAGTAAGCAAGGCCATTAGGACAAGCAGCCAGGCATAAAACCTCCCCCATTCAGACCTCTCAGGGAATGATGATCTAGTAAAGCCAAGTACTAAAGCATCCCCTAATTTAGATAAACAAAGGTGCTTGAGCCTTCAGGAAAAGGGGGTCTAATGGCCCCTGGAGAAATGGTATGATCACTGCTAAACTGCCTTCTTAGAATATCAATTATATCCTGTGATGACTGCTAAATCCTGTTAATCTCTTCCTGTGATCACTGTAAAAACCTGCTTCGGTCACACAAAAGAGGTACATAGCTTGCTTGCCTTTCACTGGATTTCTGAAGCAGTGTAGAAGTGGTAAACCCCCGTATTTCCTTCTGTTCTGTGTTTCTAAATAAATTTAGAGTTTCTCAAATCAACCTGGTCTGACGTGGTGACAGGCAATCCTGGGTCTTGTTTCCCAACCACAGGGCTATAGTGGGTATCTAGCGGCTGCTAACTGCAAGATCAGCAGCTTGAAACCACCAGCCACGGAAAAAGAAAGAAGCATCTTCCTACTCCCAGGAAGATGAACAGTTCCAGAAATCCACAGGGCAGTTCTACTCTGTCCTGTCAGGTCTCCGTGAGTTGGAACTGACTTCAAGGCAGTGAGTACCATTTTCCATTCTCACCAGCAATGGACGAGGGCTGCAGTTCTTCCACATCCTCAACAGCATTGATCGTTCTCCATTTTTCTGGTTCTAGCCACCCCACAATGACAACCTATTACCCTCCAGTTGATTATAGTTGTAATCAACTGGACAGCAGTGAGTTGTTATCACTATTGGTCTCTCCCTTTTCAGAGGAAAGAGTAATGAAAATCAAAGACATTGGGAACAGTTAGTCCAATGGACCACACAATATCAATCTCTAAAATCCTGAGACCAGAATTTGATGGCATCCAGCTACCATCAGCAACTGCTGTGAAAGGGATCACATCAGAAGGTCCTGGAGATGTGACTGGGAGAAAAATATGGAACAAAACTCAAAATCTTAAGTCATTGCTTACTACTGGTCAACAGAGAATGGATGGTGGAACCCAAGACACTATACTACAGCCCGTAGGTCAGCCTTTACATCTGACAATTAACTCACCGACATGACTCAATTTCCAGCCAGACAGGTCTATAAAGGAGCAATAACACTAGTGAGGTGCACACACCTTAGAATAATCAACCATTTGAGATCAAAAGGGCAGCAATTAACCCTGCCCAAAGTTTCTAAGTGTTAGGGGAGAAGGAAGAATGGAAACAGGAAACGCAGGGAAGGGTGGGATAAGTGATGTTTCACTGCGAAGTGTTTTTGGAAAACTGATCTACTCTGTAAACCTGTATACAATTCACAATAAAAAGTTAATAAAAACAACTATAATTACAAAAAAAGTTAGCCATATGCCATTTTTGCTGAACAAAATAAAAAAAAGTTATATTCTTAACTGTAACAGGGTCACCGGTCACTCAGATTCTTGGTGGAACGTTTAAAGAGTAAATTGGAAAAATGATACCTAAGCTTGAATTTCAAGAACTTGTTCCCATAGTTCTTCTAGGAATTAACCCTAAAAAAAAATACTAAGACCAACAAGTCTTAAATACAATGATGGCCCTCACAAAATCAGCTATAAAACAAAAGTTAGATTCAACATGCATCCTATAAAACTCTTCAGTCATCCAATCTCTTTCAGGATAGACAAATGTTTATATGTTTTTAAAAGCAAAATAAGACAATTTGATTCAGACTTACAGTGACCTATAGGGCAGGGTGGACCGCCCCTGTGAGTTTCCAGGGCTGTGACTCTTTATAGGATTACAAAGTGCCGACTTTCTCTAGCACAAACTGGTGGTGTCAAACTGCTGAACTTGCAGTTAGCAGCCCAACACGTAACCACTATGCAACCAGGGCTCATGTAAATATCGACTAGGTGTATATATTTTAATCATAAACCATCTCCAAAGTCCCTAATTCTGCATTTCATTGACAACCCCCTTCTCTCCCCAAGGCCTTGTTCCTCACCAACATCCCCTCCAAAGCAGCAATTCAAAGTCTGGAAGGGAAAAGATAAGCTACTGTAATGAAGAAAAAAATATCACCAGTCAAAACCTCCTCCTAACCCTGGTAATATGGTTAGAGGAGTTCACATTGGGGTGCTAACCTCAAAGTTAGCAGTTCAAAGTTACTAGTTACTCCAAGAAAGGAAAACGAGGTTTTCTGCTCCTGCAAAGATTTATAGCCTAGGAAGCCCGTGTGGGCTGTTCTACTCTGTTCTTGAAGAGTCTGATTGGCTTGATGTGAGGGAGGGGGAAGAGGAGGTCGGTGGGTGGATCTTTCTCTGGTGTGGACTTAAAAGAGCCAAAATCTCTTTATAGCAGGACTGCCAACTCCCATTACCACTAAAACTGGAAACAAAACAGCTTTCTTTCTCAACTCTTTTATTATTAGTGTTTTCACGGCCTGTCCTTAGCTGAACTAAAACCCCAGGACACAGACCATGCACTATTCCTCCTGGTCAAAGCGTCCCAGTCCCAGCCAATCCCATTCAGTGCAAATCGGGTAAATGAAGGAAGAAGGCAGACAGACAGACAGACAGACAGACAGACAGACGAGAGAGAGAGAGAGAGAGAGAGAGAGAGAGAGAGAACTTTAAAAGTTCATGCCTGACGCTGAAGAGACCTTTGGTCCTTGTCAAAATATACAAAAGTCCTACATTTTCGAAATAGCCTGTTTAACTCTCCACATCACCACCTCCCAACTCCCCTGCAGCTTAAAAATAAACATCATGTTGGGAGCATTTTTTCTATTCCCCATCCAGCAGGGACTGTAAAAGGACCTACAAATGTAATGCTTTCTGTATCCGGCCTTCCCTATCTGGCTGATATTTCTACCCCCTTGCCCAAAAATCCCTAAATCGATGATCCGGAGAGACCTCTGACCGGGTTTTCCCCAGAAAAGGACGCGAACCGACCCCATGCCGGGAGGAGCCCCGGGTCTCGGCCCCTCCCAGCCCCGAAAAGTACAAGTGGGCGTTTGCGCAGCTTTCGGTCGGTTTTCCCGGCGGCGCCGGGCGCGGCCCGCCCTGAACCCCGGGCCCCTGGACCCCGGGCCCCGGCCCCGCTCACCCTCGGGCAGCTCCACAGTGCGCGCGCGGCGCAGCGAGCGCGTCAGGCGGTTGAGCTGCTCCATCGCTCTCTCCATCC